GGATCTCAGCTAAAACTTGCCTGGTGTCAAAATGTAAATGAACATTCACTGACAAGTTACACCACAGCCCTCGACCTCAGGGTCTTGTTCTCCCTTCACCAAGGAACTTGTCAGCAAAATGTAGCCAAAAAAACCTTCAGTGAAAACTACAGACAAGCAAGAAACCTCTTCCAGGTGAAATAAATGGGCTGTGAGGACCAGTAATGAGGAAGGGACAGGGCCTGTATTTTGGGGGTTGCAATAAGGGTCATACCAAGTGGCAAGAGAAAACACAGCCGCTGCTTGAGGGGAAATGAAGCTTCAGAGCTCAGCAATAAGGGCGTTCCCCATTGGTGTGAGTGGACACAAATTACAAATTACAAAATATGACTCGTGTTGTTTGTTTCAAACAAAGGCAAGGAGCAATGACAAGCTGTTGTTTTGTTTCACAGGGTCCTCGGATCACTGCAGAACTCTCCAGAGTTTTCTGAAGCCTTTTCCTGCACCACGGAAGACAACATGGATCCTGCTAAGAAGTGCCGTGTTTGGTGACAGACTGCAGACCTCCCACCCCGAGGAGCTTTCCAGGAAAAGAGACACTTTCAGCCAATTTTGAGAAGGGGAGGAGGGAAGAAAACCGAGGGGAATATGCTAGAGTAGTCACTGTAATTGTTGGTAAACATGCAAACCCCAAATCATCACCCACCAAAGCATCCCAGGAGGACTAAGGCAGCCCTGAGCTGCTGTAGCTGACTGGCTGCCTCTCCCCCACGGAACCCTGTAGGATCTAACTCACTGACCATGTACAGCAACATGCACTGTAGTTTAACCCTGTTCCCCACAGCCAGTGGCTTTCTGGATTCATTCTAAGATGACAAAGTACAACCTGTGATCTCCCAGCGGTCAGTGAGTGCCCAGTTCTGGCCAGGGGAGGAAGGAGATGCTCAGTAACACACGGCTTTAGCCATCATAACACGATAGAAAAACAACAATTCATAGCCCAGTGTCAGACTTTGTACCCTCTGCTGTTATGGGAAATCTGCTCTACCAAATGTTTCATCTTTACTTGAAACCATTTATACAAGAGGAGTCCAAAGACCTGCTGTACTTAAATAACGTCTCACTAATTACTCCAGCGTGTATTACCTGATGTCACTATTTACAACAGTTTATTTACTGCTTTCCAGCCCAACTGAAATTGTAGGTAATTTAATTTTCGAACCTATAATCTGTAAGATTGTGATCAAAGACCCTTTCACAGTTTTCTAAGCTTTTTCTTGCTTTCTCTAAAGTTGCTCTTTTTAAAAGTTTCTAGTAATGTATAAATCATAGTTTTTATATTTAAATCTGAGCTACACTTTTGACTTGAAGTATTGTAATATATTTTATCAGTGGTTGCATAGAACTGGGAAATTTGAGTAAAGCATGGTATTGGGCAATAAGATAAAGCCTCCAGAACTGAGTTCTCCAATGGAGTGCACTGATATTGGAGTTTTCAGGCTGATTTCTCAGTGCTTAGGGTCTGATCCTGCACATAACTTGTACGTGTTCTGGTCCATGTCAGGCCTCACACCAGGAAATCTGCACAGCTGATTGCAAGGAGGAGCTTTAAGTAAGAGGGTAAAAGGCTTTAAATCTGCAGTGATATGTATTAAACATCCTCATGCAGATTGCAAAGGAACTTACTGCTTTGTGTATCAAAGCAAAGACATTACCAAATCAAATACCAGATACCTCAGATGACTGCTACAATAGGTCTATTTAAAAACCTATGTCCTTTCAGCTTTCTGAGTTCGTCATCTGATCAAAACATTTTGATAATAAACTGAAATTATGAGCCAAATGCAGTGTGTGTTCTTTACAGGAAACAGCAATAAAATAAAATTCGCTGCAAATAAGTGTCTACACTCACCCCTGAGCCCCACAGGCAGAGGGAGATTCCATTCCCAGTGTCCAGTGTAACCTGCCCTCCTCCAGCTCCAGGCCATCCATCCTGCCATCAGTGCTGGGGCTGTCGGGGTGTCCGAGCAGGGCCAGGAGCTGCACTGGGTGCTCCCTGTGGGTCCTTCCAGCTCGGGACACTGTGCTCTGCATCCTCTGACCTGAGCAGGCCCCCAGGGCTCCTTCCTTACATGCTTTGTTAGTAAACAAATCCCACAACAAACACATCCCGAGCTCTCCACACAACTCCCAGAGTTGGCTCTGCACAGAACGAGCCTCTCAGGGAAAGGGAGAAGCTCTTCTGCTTTCACCCAGGAACCAACATCCCCCACAGCTTTGTACAACACGGGTATTGGAAAAGGCAAACCTAGCGAATCCTGCGCCGCTGGCCCTGGTGAGGGAACAGAGCCACGGAGCTGCTCTGAGGGAGCCAGGAATGGGGCTGGAGACACACGGAATGCCCGAGCCAGGCTGGGATCCTCCATCCCAGGGGATCCGGGCAGGGATGGCAGAGCCAGGCTGGGATCCTCCATCCCAGGGGATCCGGGCAGGGATGGACAAGAAAGCAGGCTGGATCACTCCATCCAGGGGATCGGGAGGGCTGCAGAGCAGCTGGGATCCTCCATCGGAGGGGACAGAAGAGAATGGCAGAGCAGGCTGGATCCATGAGGGGATCGGGCAGGAAGAAGAGAGCCCAGGAAAGGATCCGTCCAGGGGATGGGGCAGGATGGCAGAGCAGCGGGATCCATTCACAGGGGAGGGGGCAGGGATGCAGAGCCGGTGGGCTGCCGTCCCCAGGGGATCCGGGAGGGATGGCGAGCCAGAGAACTGAGGAATGCCTACCTCTGTGGCACCGGCAGGGAAATTAAAATCCTAGCTAGGTGGATAGATAAGAGGCAGGATTAAGATCCAGCACACCGCAGTACCAACAGGAGGGACTCCTACCTGAGGCGGTCGGCGGAGTCAGGCGGGCAGGCTCTGGGGAAAGAGGTCCAGGGGCGAGCCCTGCGGGCTCAACCCGGAGCACGAGCTGGAGCAGGGCCCGGGGGCTCTGAGGAGAATAAGAGAGGGCTCTGGTGATCCCTGGGGCGTCTGGGCGCACCGGGGGCTCCTGCCGCGGGGGGGCTGAGGGGCCTGGGGACAGGCACCACCTCGGCCGCCCTTTCGCAGAACATTCTGCCCCGCACTCACGCCCCCTTCAAGAACTTCTGTGTCCGCCCTTCCAGAACAGTCCAGCACCTTCCAGAAATTCGTGGCCGCTTACAACGAACTTCTGTAGGCCCCTGCTCCCTTGAGGGGCAGCGGGTCCCCCGTGCCCTGGGGCTCCTCCAGCCCCACGGGGTGAGCGGGTGGCTGTGCCCCAGCACCGAGGGACCCTGCTCAGGGGTGACACCTGCCTGGGCTGGGGACTCCACAGGGAGATCCTGACCGGGACTGCCCGCGGAAAGGGGAGGGGAAGGGACTCTGCTCGTCACTTCGCACTCCCACCCCAGAGAGGAGGAGAGGGAAGGACCCTCCGTTAGCCCCCGGGGAGGGTGTGTGCTCAGTGACGGGGTTACTGGTACAGGTCAACCCAGGTGTGGGAGGCTCTGCCAGGCAGAGTTAACCTCCAGAGCGGGTTAACCTGCTCCCTGTGCTGGGGCCAGCCCGGGGCAGGAGCAACGCACCTGGAGTCACTGTCCTTGGAGCAGTGTGGGCTGGGAATGTCCGAGAGAAACTCTGGGCTGGGAATGTCCAAGAGAAACTGGTTTAGGCAGGTGTTATCCCAGCACTCCACTGTGTGCACACTTGTGCCCTGTGTAAACACCCCTAAACTGGATCACAGGCATTAAAGGAATATAAACATGAGTCCAGAGCAGTTTCCAGGATGCCACACACAGATCCCGGGACAGATGGACAGAGACTCGTCCCTAATTGATTTACTCAAAGAGCTGTCAGGGGGAACAGGGAAAGCCACAGAGGCCGTGGGGCAAACCTGGCACCCAGCTCTGCAGCAACAGCAACTCCAATATTTCTGCTTGGCTTTCGTAGATAAAACAAGGAATAATAAATGAAACAGTACAGATCATCTTAGATCACAGAAAACACCAGCCCACCAGCAGGTAAAAATAGAAATAGGCTTGGAAAAGGTGCCCACCCTAAAGGTGAGCAGGGCCCTTTGATCTTGGAGAACTAGATCTCAGGGATGGGATAGAGTTCATTAGGGACAGTTGTTATGCCCCAAAGCCATCACACTGTAACAATACTGGAATGTCCTACAGCCTGACACGGTGACAGAACCAAAGCTATGGCCTCTCTTCAGTAGTGTAGCACCAGAGCTCTGCAGGAAATCTGAATACACGTGGTTTTCTTCTCATCACTCACCAGCATCCGAGAGAAAAAACCCAGCACCCAAACACTCGTTTTGTTTTTCAAGAATTAAAGACCCCAAACCTTTTGTTGCAGCTCTGACAGCCCTGCACATGTGGGGAGCTTCACATGGTACAGCTCCATTGCCCAGCCACCCCAGTGGGCTGTCCCAGGGTGGTTACAAAAGGTCACTTTGCAGGGCACTCCGTGGGCTTCCAACAGTGTGGGGGATGCATAATTTCTTGGAATAATCCTCTTTTTATTACTCTACAAAACTGGCAGGAACTTTCCCTTTGTACACAGCGAGTCAGTCTGACAATACTGAAGCCAGCCTAGAAAGTTATTTTGTTTTGCTCTGCCAAATCAGATCTTTCTGCTCTCAAAAATCAGGTAAAGCTAAACCAGATTGTAGTGTTTATATTTTAGCTCTGTAACATTTTAATTGGAAACATTCGATTTCCAGTGTTGTGAGACACCCAAAGAGCCACTTGGGCCAACAGGATCTCTCAGAACGTTTCCCTCCAGGCCTGGTAAATGAGCTGAGATGTGAAAACATGGACATGGTTTCTATGGAGTCTCTGCTGGCCCTGTGTCAGTCAGAGCTGGGATCAGTCAGGGTGGGCTCAGTCTTAGAAACCCAGGAACTGGTCCTGAAAAGGAGATAATGAGGTGCCTGCTCACACAGCCCACCTGCACAGGTGAGCTGGAGGGGATGTTCTCACCTGGCAGTGACTGACAGTGATGCTGGAGGTCCTCACTTGCTGCAGGGATTGGGAATCTCCAGCTCTCCAAGAGACTGCAGGGTTTGTCCCCTCTCTTCCAGGACACCTGATGAAACAGCATCCCCCCTGTGCCCTCAGGTCATTTGCAGGTGAAGCAACTCGGTGTTGAGACAATTCCCAAAGGGAATGTCACACTTGAGTGCTGTTGCTGAGGCTGCTGGAGCGGCCAAGGAATGTTCACGGCTGCACTACAGACAAATATGTTTGTGTTTCCATTCCTAAAGGACAACAGACAGTGCCCACAGATGGAGACAGGATGTCTGACTGATGTGCCTTCCTCACATTCTCAAACTTATACAAATTGTGTAAGCAGGAGCCAAAAAAATAGCTTCTCTCTCTGTTTAACCCTACCAGGGGTCATTAAGGTTTTTTTCACATTCCCTTAAACATTCATCTTGCTGGGATCTCCCAGACATGCCTCCCACAGTCAGTTCTCTGCTTTAACTGGGGATTGAATTATTAATGATTTTGTCTTCTGAGAACTGCAACTCTTCAGTATAAAACCCTTCATGCTCAAAAGCTCAATGCTGTCTGTGAAAATGCAGCAGCTCAGATCATCTGATGATTATTTCTGATTTAAATGGCAAAGTCGCTGGAAGTTCTCAAGGCACATTATCCATGAGGGGAATATAATTATCTCCAATTATAATTAAAAAAGACAAACCCCCCAAGTACAAGACAATCAGGGGGCCAGAGTGAGCCTGAGCCATGATTCCAGGCACACTCAGCTGTACAACAGCCTTCCCAACCCTAAAAAAGCCTGAGGTTTTCTGTTCGAAGGACGTACATATTTCTGTTTCATAACAATAGATTCCAATAGATCTTCCCCATAATAAGGCTAAAAATACTTCCCCAGGCCCCATGAGAAATTAACCCTTGCCTGTTTCTAACAAGTTTGAAGCTCCTTAGCTATTTTAAAAGTTTGCTATTCAGCAGGCAGGCAAGTGTCCACCTACACAGGACTCCAAAACCACTCACCCCATTACAAACCATTTGGAAACTGGGAAATTGGTTTGGTGACTCTTCCTAAAGCTCTAATTAGTATGTGAAACACTGTGGATAAAAAGCGTACACCATGTTTACAGTGTTGATATTAAAAATAACTCATTTTATACTTATTTTAGCCATTAGAAATCTCAGTTGAACTTCCAGGTTCTTCTAATCAACATCCCTGTAAATTCTTCTGTCCTGTAAGACAAAGCAAATTCCATTTGAAAGGTGGCAGTGCCAAGCAAGGGAAGCAGAGGTGGCGTGTGGCACGTGCCAGTCACTTACTGCCATCAGGAGAAGACAATGTAAACCATGAGGGCACATCCCAGGAGCCAGCCAAGTGCCAGGAGCACAGGGACAACCAGGCGGGACAGCGGGGCTGGGGCTGCAAGGGAGGAGAGGGGCCATGTTACACAGGCAGGGAATTATCCCAACACATCAAACCAGGAGCGTCCCAGCCTGCCTGACCTGCAGGAAGGGGACACTGAATTCCCACCCCTCAAAGGATGGTGGCAGTGGCTGCACTGAGGGGACACTGAATTCCCACCCCCCAAAGGATGGTGGCAGTGGCTGCACAGCAGAGATTCCCAGCTCGCCTCCCTGCCCACTGCATCCCTCTCGTGTCCTGTCCCCACAGCCACACAGGGAGCTCAGGTTGAGGTGATTAACCACTGCAAGGCTGTTTCCTCCTTTCCAGCAGGAAAATACCACAGGTGTGTCCAATGTGGAAACTCTCACAGCTGGGCCAGCCACAAACAAGGGGTGAGTTGCCCACTAGTCCTAGAACAAGGAGCCCAGTGCAGGTGATGGTTCTCCACGGAGCACATGGAAAGCAGGACTGGCTTTATATAAATATATTTCTGTACAACATCAGAATTTTAAAGACTCTTCTATCAGTTTCCTGCAAATAGCAGTCTCTTGCCAGAAAGCAGAATCCTATTACTTACCAACATATTACAACCTCTTAGAGCAGATCTCTCTGCAGTTAATACATTTCCAGGTTTTTGAAGGGATTAATAAATTATGTAAAACTATTCACAGCACCTTGCACAGTTTAGATCAAGCAGGCAGACTTAGAGGGATGCTTAATAATTAAGGATTGCCACATTGCTCTTTTAAAGCTGTGCACAACAGACCTCTCTCCACGACACTGCACGGTGTGTCTGCCAGAGGGAGAGAGCACAGAGAGAAAATCTGCATGTGCTGCCATGAAAATACTAAACAGATAAACAACCACAACAGCAAAGATAAAATCCTGCTCTGAAACTGGGAGTCCTTTTGCCACAGGGGAGTTTAATTTAAACTCCCTTACCTGTTTAATTTAAAGACTGTTATGGCTTTGACACTGTGCAAGGTAAAGCTGCTTCTCCAGGAATCATTTCTCTTTATTTGCCTTTTTTCTAAAGGTCTAATTACAGCCCCAAGGCTGGATCCTGCTGGGTGCACAGGGCAGTTCTGTCAGAGCTCTGCTCGTGCTGCTGTGTCTGCTGACTATGGGAGTCTGTCATGTGAGACCCAGGTTAAACCAGTGGTGGTGTAATTTCTGTGGATACCAATGCAAACTGAAATAAAGACACGGCGTTCAGCATCCTGTTGTACCTTAGCAGAAATTCGCTCTCCTCCTCAGATACCAGAGTAAATGGTGCAGAACCCAGCAGATAAGTCTTTAGAAACTTTTAACATAGCTATGAAGATGGATTAAAAAGTTGCTTTTACAAGGACAAGTGTTACCTGAGGACCTGTGCACAGCAAACACCACAGATAGACTTACAGCTGGGAGTTTAAGTGAAGTAAATAAAAAATGACAATGGATACAAAATGCATTTTTATAAGCTGCCTTTTCTCCTTGGAGACAGTGAGGTGTGCTTACAATGGAAAGCTCATTATTAAAATTTCATTTTGCTCTGTCACTCAAGCTTTGTGGGGTTAAAATCTAAATTATTCTACGTTCATCCAGAACTGCACTCAGAGCTCAGCTACACACAGACATCAAAAATGCTGTCAAACAGATCTCATTTTACACAGTTCTGTTCTATTGTGTTCACTAACCTGAAATTACAGCTACAAAACACTAAAGAAAAAACTGGTGGGATTTAGAAATACAGGAGGAAGACAAGTTACTTTTAACTCACTGCTGTTAATAGAATTAGCTTTTAAACTGGTAACTTAACATAAAATACATAGTGTTTCAACAAGAATACAAGTAGCTGAGTATTGTCACATTTTAAACTGGTAACTGTTACTGCAAAGTAAAATACACAGTGTTTCAACAAGAATACAAATAGCTGAGTATTTTCACACTACATTGCTCAGGTTTATTCATTTTAATATATTGTTACATTCACATTTCACAGTGCACCTTACCTGGTTCTGCCATTCCCCCTCTGCTGGTTTAATGGCAGGTTTAAGGTTTGCCTCTGCAGTTGTTCTGGGAGCCTTGGGATGCTTTAAATAGAGCGATATTTGGAATGTGCTGCAGCTGCCTGGCTCACTCGTGCCAGGGTTTGGCTCTATGCATTCAATTGTCTAAAAAGGCAGGAATTCAGGGGATTCAGGGTTACCTCTGCCTGGTCCTCCAGCTGCACATCTGTCCCCGAGCAAAGTGAATAAAGGGAGCTCAGTTTTTGAAGGGGGAGAGAAACAAGGGTGAAAAGTGCTTTGTGGTCTCTTTATAGCCATGAAACACCACATGGTAAGTTCAGATAATATTTATGACCATCCACATATTTAGAGCGTGACAGGGACCCAGTTCTTAATCCCCCACATCTCCTCTCATCCCTCTCCTATCAAAACCCAAGCCAAGCCCTACTCAGATACTTCTGCAGTTATTAGTTCTTTCCTAAGCAGCACCAGGAATCTCATTCTGCACAAAGCACAGAGGCACATTTAGCTCCCTCCCCCTGAACGGGTACAGGGTGCAACCACAGGTTTTCAGCACTCCTGGGGGAAGTGGAAAACAAAATTCCAGGAAGGAACATTCCTAAAAAAATCTGAGAATTATTTTGTCCTAAACAGGATAAATTATTGCAAACTGTCTCTAATTCAAAGGAGAAAAAACATGGAGACAAGTGCCAGATCTGAGCCAAAAGCACAAACTGCACAGCAGGTCATGTCACAGCAAAGGGGAGCTGCGTGTGAAGATCCCTCAGAGTGATCCTGGGTTTCACCAATAAGCAGGAAAAAGTGTTCAGGGGAAATGAACCAAGTGTGCAGAATGCTCAGAGGAACAGCACACATGCCCTGATCCAAAGGCTTTCCTTCAGGAATGGGAGGAGACTTTCTCTAACATTCACCAAGTTTACACATAATCCCATCTCAGACCTGTGCCTGGAGAGTAAATGAATCAGGGATTCTTCCTGTGTTTCTGAACTGGAAAAGGACAGAAATGGCTGCTCCAAAGCCATTCCAGGTAACAGGTGCAAGGATGATTTCGAGAGATCTAATCTGGATGTTCATATAGTTGAGAGGAATTTCTTGTGGGCTCCCAGAAGAGAGGACAGTGCTCAGAAACACATTAAGCAGACCTAAAAGAGATGATCGCTTTCTTATCTGCTTGTTGATTAAAAATTAAATACTTTACACTAAAGAAATCAATTATCACCTCTATTCAGAATTGCTTCCCCTCATACAATGGCTGTGGGATCACATCTTCCTTGGAGTCTCTATAACCAGCCCAAAGAACAGTGTCTCAGGAACACTCTGACATCCACAGAGGGGAGCAGCACTGAGCTCTGGCCACACTGTGCTGAGCAGTTGTTTTACATCAGAGACAAATTCAGCCCTGCAGAGATGGTTTATTGCACACTATAAACACTCCCTGGGCTTTGGAGCCCGGAGGGAATTCTAAGATGATGATTCCAGAACAAGAACTGAAGCCAAGTCATGTCACCTAAGGAAGTTTTCATCAATGGCACACAATCACAGACTGGTTTGGGTTGGAAGGACCTTAAAGCCCATCCAGTCCCACCCCCTGCCACGGGCAGGGACACCTTCCACTAGCCCAGGTTGCTCCAGACCCCATCCAACCCGGCCTTGATCTACCTCCATGTCTCTACAGCTGTTTTCTGCCACTTCTCTGCATTTTTGAGCAAGACAGTTCTCTTTAAAAACTGCTTGCCTTTCCCCAAACACCACGTAGAGAAGGTGATTTCATTCCTGCTTACCCAAAATAAAACTCAGGGCTATAAAGCACTTTATTATGCCGTGCACAATTCAGCCTATCACAACAGTCTGAGACACAAGAACAAACTGTGAGCTTTGCTGTCTTGGTCTGGCTTTGCTATAGAGCAAATCTTTTTGGATAAGATCCAATTTGTTGCAAAGTGAAATATGACTCTGTGCAATATATTTATTGAGAAAGCCATCTCTGATACAGTGACTTCCTTGGCTGCACAGCTGTTCCCATAAGAATCCTATCTGGTTTGGTTCTGCTGATTATATATATCCATCTGATCTCATGGAAATAATTTCCACCAGGAACCATGTATTCCTGACAAGACCACCTGATCTTCAGGGCTTGGGATCTTTCCAGGCCCAGTTGCCACAAGCAAGGGCAGCGAGTCATTGCTGCTCTGCCCAGCTCTGGGCACTGCTGCCCCAGCTCAGCTGCACCCACAGCCAGTGCTGTCCTGCACGTCCTGAGCAGGGCATCAAGGGCATCAAAGCTGTAACTGCAGCAAAGAGCAGAGTAACAATACAGATATTATTTTAAACAACACATCTTCTGATTGGAACTGAGGAATGGACTGCAGACATCAATCCTACAATAGAGCTCAGTCCAACAGATAAAAAAAAAAGCAGGGGGACAGTCTCAAAATATAAAAAAAAAAACAAGGAGAGGACACAAGGCTTAAGAAAAAACTCAGATTGATCTGTGGCAAAACACATCTACTGCTTTGCTGCTGAACAACAATACACAAGAAAAACAATTCCCTCATTTCTATTTGTGTTTCAAATTACGTGATAATTTCTGTATGTTCTTCCCTCTGAGCTTGTGCTGGGACACTGAGATACTCCATGTCCAGAGTTAGATGGGGAGTTGGGTTTGGGAATTAGATCTCTTTTTTAGCCCCCAGCTCACTGAGGTGCTCAGATTGGTCTCACTTCAGGAACCTTTGGAGCAGCCTCCTTGACTTCATTTCCATTAAGTGCTCGAGGCTGGGGATCACTTCAAATGCTTTATATGTCTCAGTGCTTTAAGTGAATGAGGGCCAAAGTCAGGAGGAGGAACTGAGGCAGCAGGGCTGCGAGGCTTCCCGGGAGAGAAGCAGCTTTAAGGGGAAAAACCAGTGCTGATGTTTTAGAAAATATTCCATTCTCTTCTTCAGAACCACGTGGGTTCTGCCAGAAGGGAAAACAAACAGCCCAGCTGCATTCCTTGGCTGGCAGGTTCAAAGTCTGCTCTGCCCAGTGGAGCTGCACACGGCGCCGGCCCTGGGGAGCACAAAAACCCTCTGCAGGTGTCTGAGCTGTGCCAAAGCTCTGGGGAAGGGCTGGAGGGAACAACATCCCTGCTGCCTTCCAGGCTTCCCACCTCAGAAGCCAAAGTGCTTCATTGCACTGATCACTATCTTTGGCTGTTCCCTCAGCCCACAGAGGAGCTGTGGGAGCCTGGAGCCTTCCTTTGGGAGACTGAGCCATCCTGTCTGAGCTGTTTAACCTCGGGAGACTGAGCCATCCTGTCCCAGTCCTTCAGCCCTGGGAGACTGAGCCATCCTGTCCCAGCCCTTCAGCCCTGCGAGACTGAGCCATCCTGTCCCAGCCCTTCAACTGCTCCTGCCCCAAAACTGCCAGGGAGGGAGGAGCTGGGGAGCTGTCAGTGCTCCTCCATCAGCCAGGGACCCTCAGCATCTGCCTTGGAGCATGGAGGGGACCATGGAGTGCTAATGGAACTCTTAAGGCTGGAAAAGACCTCTACAATCAAGTTCAACTGTCACAGGAAGTTAACATGCAATGAGGTGATTAAAGCCAGAGTCCAATCCTAAAGAAAATGGGAACAATCCAGCCAACAGTGGCAGAAATGTGACCCAGAGCCCTTGAACAGGCAGGATGGTTATGTAGGAGCTTCCCTGTGGGATAATCCAACCCTGGGCCATGCAGCCAACAGGGCCATTGAACCACGTTGTTGGGAATGGGTTTTCCTGTAACATCACCGGGCACAGATCTCCCATGAGAACCCTCAGCATTGCCCCTGCCCTGTGCCCACACACAGAACCCTCAGCATTGCCCCTGCCCCGTGCCCACAGAACCCTCAGCATTGCCCCTGCCCTGTGCCCACACACAGGGGCTGTCAGGCAGCACAGGCTCAGCTGGGTGGGGTTGGAGCTGCCCCCAAACCCCTCGGGGTGCAGTTGGGAGCTCTGCTCTCCCCTCCCCAGTCGGTGCCTCTCTCGGGCAATATTAAGGAAAGCTTTGGCTGTAAACCATCCCACAGCACCTCACTGAGAGGCAGAACTTCCCCTTCTGCACCACAGACAGGTTTCCACATGGAATGCTGGAGCACAGCCCAGAGAGCAAATATCAACTGCATGGAAACAACCCCATGGATGCATTTCCTGGGCTCTTTCTGCTGGATCCCAGTGATTTAGAGCCTGATGTTTGGGAGGGAACTGTCAGAACCTCACTGACACACCACCCACTCTGCAAAGCCAGTTGGCCATTTTTGGTCTTAAAATAGCCAGTATGTTGAGAGCACATCCCAATCTTCTTCATTTCACCAGTACCCAGACATTAAATATTAGAAAGCTGAATTTCTGTCTTCGTTACTGTACTTGTAACCCCTGGAAATCTGCACACAATGCAGCAGGCTGGCAAAGCAGGGCTTTGTTTTACAAGTTCTACGTGAGCCATATAAATAGCTGCAGGCTAAACTGCTGCAGAGGACAGGAGGGGGACAGACCAACTCATCTTCACAGAGGGAATGCTCCAAGTAATAAAATCTTTACAGCTCTGTAATATTGGTATTAATTTTTAAATCACATTTCTTTCTTTCAGTTGAGTTTTTTCCTTACCCCTGATTTACTAGCAAATCAAAAGCCACATTTATATGCCTTGAATTGTTTTATGACTTTGCCATATGCTCCTGTGACATGCAGACTAACATGGGAGAATATTAGATTTTTGCTTTCAAGAAATAGGTTTATGTGTGGAAAACTTGTCTAATGAAATGCATTTTATTACTCACACCAATCTTAGCACTTGAAAGCTCCCTTAGAAATTGCCAGGCATTACTTCTACTCACATTTACATCATGAAAACAAAGGCTGATTTATTTGATAACTGTGCAACTGAAGACCTGAAAAAATCCATGTATTAAGCTACTAAATATTTAATTCCACAGACTGTTTCCCAGGGCTTGGGGTCTGCACGTCATTTCTCTTGGCAGAGAGAAGTACCACTCACTGAGTGCTGAGATACCTGCTAAAAACCAGCTGCAAATATGATGGAGGAA